GACACTTATAGGTCAAATCGCTAATCAGCCAGTCAAAATACTCCGTGATGCCAACGTGTTAAAATTACCAAAACGGAGGAGATTTGCCGATGTTCCAGCTCGATCTTTTACCTCTGGTTTTGATGGGAAGACGGCATGTTTTTGTTTTTTTTGAAATCAAAACATTATTTGTTTTCGATGATACACTGACCGTTTGAAGACTAATTTAACATTTTTACGGTGATAACAGCTCATTGTCGAAGCGAAGCTATTAAACCACAATAAACATCGTACTCTTGAATCGGCGTCAATGACTACGGTAAAATTCGTAAGGTTGTGGGTCAGGAGTGAGTGTTGTTTTGACTTGGGTATTGTGTTTTACATTCCAACAAGAAATTTTTGCGTGGTTTTATTTTTGCGTTTTTGGACTCACCGCGAAATTAAAACCAAGCTAATGATTTCTACTTCTACATTCAATTTATTGCAATGGATATCCAAAAGTCCGTAACCTAATGTTATTGAAATTGTTTACTGTCTTACATTGTCATGTCCCAGTGTTACCGATGGTTAGACCATGGAGGTGGTTAGACCATGGAAGGTAGTAACGTTAGTACCTTCCATGGTTAGACATAGACAAACTACGTAACGATAGTGCTGTTTGTAAATCAACAAGCTTTGTAGATTGAATAAACATCTAGGGGATTTACATTTTCGTTTACTCAAACTGTGATTGACAGAAATTTTGCATACATTAGCCACCATTTTAAACTCGTGATTTTCACTGGTCGTGGCACGTTTCGACCGAAAATAACAACATTTATACATCAAAAGCCCAACCAGACGAGTGTAATCGCTAGCGTACATATTCATGCCCCCGTGGATGTGTATTTGGAACCACAGCTTGATCTCCAAACATCGTAAATTGCATATTTCACGGAGCTCCCGCCACGATGTGAGCGGCTTGGTTCGGATTAGCATAGTAATTATTAGGCCATCTTGACCCTTATTTATAGTATCGGTTATTTTATTTATTGGTCTGAGCAAATATGTGCAAAATGTGCATTTACATTGCCTTGAGCAGAATTGTTAAGTAAATATGTTCTATTACGTGTATTATATATATACATTTTTATTAGAAAGTTGGTCACAAAAAAATGAATCGCATGGGAATGTTCGTTGTTAATGTAATTATGTAATTATAATGTAAAATTATGGAGTTATCATCCCATGGCATCATGAAATTAGCATTCTCTTGTGTGTTACAATAACGTATTTTGGGAAACTTGTTTTAATAATTTTTTCAAAAATTGCTAATTTACATCAATTCAATAGTCTAAGAACACAATGGTTTAAGAAAAAAACATTTTTTGACATTTAATTCAGGTCAACAAAAAGTATCTAATAATTCACAATATATGATTTTTGTTCAGTCTATGTCTACAATTTACGATATGGCATAATATCTCTACCGTAGGAACACATGGTAAAAGCGTTATAATATTAACAAAATAGCAACTTCTACTAAAATACAGTCATCATTTTTCGAAAATTAGGCTGATAACCCCTAACTTTTTAAAGTCAATATTCTTATATTGACTGACCACATGCGAATGATTATTATAACATTGGCAGACAATCATTGCCGTGAACGACCGAGTTTCCAGTCTTTTAACAGTGATGTACGCACATCTCCCACCAGAGTTATCGACAGTGCTATTCTAGTTACGTCTGAACAAACGTACTGCCCCAAATTAATATAATATACTTATATACTATGACTTTATTTGACAAAATCATAAACCTTGTCATTCGTTCTATTATTACGGGAATAGCCTCGGGTAATTTACATACTCCTCTGTATTGGCTATTAATTATTGTACGCATACATAAGTACGCGCAAAGTACCGTGCACCCTCGTCGCTTATGTATATCTTTCGAGCATTGTTCAAATGAAATGAAATGAAAATATGGTTCTCCGCCTTCACAGGAAAACTTTTTTCATGCGTGGTGCTGATAATATCTAATAGACTATTCTTCTGCTTAGGCTGAAGACTTCTACATGATGATCTGATGGCTGGTGTTAATAATTCTACCATTGCTACAGAAGAAGGTATGGGTCAACTTGAGCCGTGTACTACCGTTTTGAATATCATACTGCCGTGTGTTATGGCGGTATTAATTGTCGGCACCGTGTTCGGAAATGCCGTTGTCATGGTTGTTATCGGCAAGACGCCGGCTACGCGCCAAGCTATGGATTGTCTGTTGCTAAATTTAGTATTCGCCGGTTTCATTTACGGGATCTTCGTCTTACCCCTGACGCTTATATCGTCCGCGTACGGGCGATGGACCTTCGGCCCAACGACTTGCAAGGTAAAGGGCTTTGCAACGGCTCTACTATCGTCCGTGTCATGGGGAACACTAGCGCTAATTAGTCTGGAGAAGTACATCGCAATACTGAAACCCCTTCGTTACACACAATTAGTCACCAAGAACCGTATTCTAGCGTCAGTGACGATTTTATGGTCGAGCATGGCAATTATAACATTGCCTCCTTTTTTCGGATGGGCCAAATACGATTTCATTCCAGTAACGTGTACATGTGCTATAGTATGGAGGGAATCGCCGAGCTATTTATACACAAGTTTGTGTGTGGGATTTCTGCCTTCAGCTTTGCTGATAAATTACGCCTATCTGAATATACTGAAAGTTACCAGGTAAGCGTGGTTATCAATTTAATGTATATACAAGTTTGCATCACTTTTGACTTTTGTTTTCACTTCTTTTCACAGTTCACACCTTGGCTGAGGTCAAAGTGACTGGCCTCTTGGGAACGCTATAATCTTGATATTGGTCGAAGCCAATGATAAAAACTGCCAATGATAAAAACGAGGCAGTTATGAAGTAAAATTGTGAGCTAAAACGCAAACTTCAAAATCAAAATTAGCCACCGTTGGAGAACCGCATTGGCAAGTGGCATCCACCTTTTTATCGTCTTGAGCAGTCTAACTATCTCAGATGTTATGACATCACAGGTCAGGAACACACAAAAATGGCGTCACACACAAGAAATAAGCTGCAGGATGCCAATATAATAAATATTTATCAAACGATCATATTTCCACTTTAACCATTAACGTACTTCGTGGATAATAACATTATTTATAATTCAAAGCTGGCTAGAGTAAACAAATCTACAACTGGATACAACAACCTGGTTTCCATTATGGATATCATTTTTCATATACCATATAATTGTTTCTGAAATAAATTGATGAAGGGAACATCGTAACGGCAATAGACGGTCCAGTCCGTAATAATCAGTTATTATAATAACCTAAATATCGTAAAATTGAATTAATTAAGGAAGTTGCGTATAGAAAACCGAGTTCTACAACGTTTGCTGTCATTAATGTGTGAAGATAATGTGACATTTCATCCTAATAAAAACATGATTGACATGATTTATAATAAAATACAAGCTATGTTTACTGATTGCATTAGATCAGAATTTTACCGAACGAATAATTCTGTTCATGCTGCCATTAGTTCCCACTAACGTTCACTCACACTCTAATATTCAAGTATATTGTATTATTAAAACGAGTCTAGCTGTATAGGAAAATAATTCAGAAGAAAAATAATGCTATATATGAGAATGTACCACACATCGCAAAGCTGCATACCCTATCGTGCGTGGCTTACATTCGGCCATAGGCTTCCATGTTTAAAGGGCGGCAGTCGTCGTGCCTCGTTCTGTTCGATATGGGACTCATAGCGACGTATACAACGCGTGTAAAATACATTGTTTATTTACATGAAATTCGAACACGCGCTGCGCGACGACCACCGCGCTTTAATATCTGAGGTTATTCCACACTGAGAAGTTTAACCCTACAAAGCCAATTGAATGCACACAGCATACCGAATGGTTGTCAGAATCCTCTTAACTCTATGCAGCCAATTCTTAATTGTGTAAAATAATGGTGACTCGTCAATGTGCTATAACGAAATTGCAATTACACATAACAGCATATATTATATATTCACATCCATTTTAATAACAATCAACTTTTCAATCATCCGTATTATCGAATAATCTATCATGGATATCGTGACATCATTCTTGTATTTCTGTTGAATGAAAGTAGACATGGCATGTGAGGGAGGTAATAAAACTGTTTCGTTCGATTGATGAGGCAATGTGACTAACTGTACATTTTATATTTTATTACTATTCCGGTTCACATCGCAACACGCTCATGTATAATTGTGATTTTATCATGACCTAAATGCTTTCACACTCTTTTTAGCCGAGAAAGAAATAGTATACAATTTTAAACGTAACATGAGACCCATAGGAAACATGGCGAAGCGCGACGACCACCACTCTTTAATGTAAAAGCCCATTATGCGATCAAATGATGAATATATTTCAATGAATGCCTTCGTCCATCGAATTGATGATATGATTCTCATGGGGGCATAGTCACTTTGTACTAAACCCTCTTAGCTCCAAGTCAATTCGTTCTAGTCCACTTCGTACCACATATACATTTCGTCCTAAGTAACCAATCATGTACCACAATCGCACCACAGTTAATATTGAAGCGACAGAGTATTTGTAATTAAAAATAATATTTTGTAAAATATATTTCATAAGTCCAAACAAACTTTATCATCACAAATATTTTTCAATTAATTGTTTTTAAATAGAGCCAGTATTACGCCAACTAACATTATTGTTTGTGAAAAAGTGGTTAGTCATTTTATTTTGTATACTAGTATTTGATGGCGTGATAGTTTTAAAGCAATATCATAAACAACCTTGTTACGATAGCCAAACAAGGGCGCCACACGATCCTGTAAATCTAACAAAACCCGTTCACTCAATTATAATGCACGATGTAGAAAATATGAAAATACAATATTCTCAGCTATACAATGTATGTAGTATTCCATCCACTTTTAAACGAAAATAACAAAAAAACTCTGTTTTGGACTAATTTCGGTACGTTCTGTGACGTATGTCATTGTAGGCAATCGTTTTAATTGTTACTTGTGCTATAATTCAGTTAGACCCGTACGAAGTGATTGCGTGGTTCGACTCGGAAGTAACCGTATGATAAAATTGATTTGGGGCGAGGCGACTGTGTAGGACGAAGTGTCCGTGTGGTGCGGAGCGACCGTGTGGGTACGAAGTGGCTATCGCGTTGTACCAAGCGCCGGGCCGTGCGGTAGAAAGTGACTGTAATTCGCGCACATGCGCATGCACGTTCTATATTAGCAGCACGTACCAAAAATTCGAATTACATCATGATGTTTATTGCGTACAATATTTCATAAATAGTTCGACGTGCTTATGGGATGCCTTTCGTCCATTTATTTACATGAACTGTTTTTGCATGGTATACGCATATTGTATTGCACATATAGAAATATACAAACGACAGTCCATACGTGTTTACTCCTCGATAAATCACAATACGGTGTTTGTATGAGTAGACACTATTAAATACAATACTAAAATATACGTATTATTTATATTAGGAATACTATTATAGAACATAGTTAAACTACACATGACTTGCTCTGTATATGTAAGAGTGGACATATATATATAGCATGTGGCGGTGTGTCATTGCAGCATAAGAAAGGAAGATGACTACATGGGACAACGAAGATAACAGCATTGATGCACATGATAGGAAGATCGCTGCTGCGTTTAGCATGGGGAAGATCACGGCAGCATGGAGTGGGGAAGATCACGGCAGCATGGGGTGGGGAAGATCACAGCTTAGGATGGGGAAGATCACAGCTTAGGATGGGGAAGATCACGGCAGCATGGAGTGGGGAAGATCACGACAGCATGGGGTGGGGAAGATCACAGCTTAGGATGGGGAAGATCACGGCAGCATGGGGTGGGGAAGATCACAGCTTAGGATGGGGAAGATCACGGGCAGCATGGGTTGGGGAAGATCACAGCATAGGGTGGGGATAATAGGGTGGGCATACAAAATCCCATATATTTATAGGTTTAATAGTGATCATCTAATTAGAATGTAGGAAAAATATGGAAGTGAGTCAGCGCTTTGAAGAAACAATTGAAATTGAATTAAAAAGCAAGTGTATGTATAATATTCAGCAACACAGAAACTAAAATGTTTTAACCATAATGCTTTGCAATTTCGCTATCGACGCCTAAAAAACCTTTTGAAAATCGCAAAAAAAAATTTTGAAAGATAAACTCCAAATCTATACAGGCCAACTAAAGGTGTGATAGTGTTCGGATGAACTTTATCGGAGTTGTTGCGCTCACAAGAAAAGTTTACGATGACAACATCTACGACCGTGACGTACGACAGTAATTCTGCTACTACTATAACTGCACCATATTGCTATCAAGGCGAAAACTATATTTATGTGTATATATTTATAGAATGATTTTTTTATCTGTAAATTGAAGGACTTAACGCTTCCCGATGGAATTAAAGCTGCACAAATCTAGAAAACGCCGCAAACTTTCTGAATTTACACGTGACCATCTACGTACAAAATAACTTTCATTTGTAGTCATACATCGCTGTTTTGGAAAGTCGGGACTAACTCGAAATATGAATTCGACTATCATGGTTGACATGACGATTAGTCGCATACGGCAATGTGGTACTTCTACATACTGATAGTATGTACACTCACTGTCAAGGATAAAGTCAGCAGTCACTCTAAGGTTAATACATTTAATGTTTTAATAGGTGCTAAAGATTTAATATGGTGATTTTTTTTTTACGAAATGAGGGTGACAACGTTCTGATCATTTTGAAAACCACAACATGTGAAAATACTCAGAATGCTGGTTTCGATGTCAGTGTTTGTCAAAATAAATGAAAATAATCGATATTCAGTAATATTATATAAACTCGGTCTATTAATCGCACAGTCTATCATTGGATATATAACGTTAATTGTATAAAAGTTTCCAACCTATAGATTTTGTTTTCAAAAATATCTTGATTCCCGCAATAACAGTCGCTGCACATGCGTATTACAGTGTTTTTCTTTCATCGAGCGAATACGATACTGAGTGCTGCAAAAACAATTTTATTTTACCATAATAATAATAATAATTCAATTTGGTAATCAACTTGTATCAACAATATCTAATATATATAAAGATTAACGAACCCGACGGAAAATAAACATAGATTCGAAGCCGAGTTGTTTTTATCTCGTTTAAGATTAAAGACAGAATGTCCAATGTTTTAGCAAACAATTGTGAAAAGTGAATACTACAGCATGACTTATTAACGAGAACTAATGCGACTTTTACTATACTTACTTTTTTTAAACTACAGAAGTAAAATATTAACAGATAATTTACAACTGAATCACACACAAAACTATAATAGAAATGTTGATAATAAAAACGAACGACAAGGAAAAAAATGAAAATGTCAGTTAAAATAAAAAACAACACAAAGAAATTGCAATTTAATATATAAAGGAAAATTTTAAATAAAAATAAACACAAATATAAAACGATAAATTCACATATAGACTAATAGTAATGAACGACAATAACAAAAATAATATGAAAATGGTAGTTAAAATATAAAAAAACATATAAATATAAATGTGCAGACAAATTAACAAAACATAACTTTATCACACAAAGCTTGAAATAAACCCCTACATATCCGACTCGATCACCCAGTACATTA